CTATAAGTCTAACTGCTATTGCTATAAGTCTAACTGCTATTGCTATTGCTATTAACACTTCAGGTGATCTTGATCCTATCCCTCTTGTTTATGCAGCCTAGAACTGTGTTGGCTTTTTTGGCAGCTGCTGCACATTGCTGGCTCATATTTAAATAGTTGTCCACTAGGACTCCAAGATCCCTCTCACAAGTATACAGGTAGTCCTCAACATATGACCACAATTGAGCCCAAAATTACCATTGCTAAGCAAGACAATGGTTAGGCGGCCCTAAAGGTACTTTTTTTCCAAGAGGCAACTGAACTTTCTGGTTTTTCTTGAAGATGTTTCGCTTCCCATCCAAGAAGCTTCTTCAGCTCTGAAGGTTCTTTTTCAGAGCTAAGGAAGCGTCTTGGATGAGAAGGGAAACATCTTCAAACAAAAGCAAGAAAGTCCAGTTGCCTCTCCAAAAAAAGCACCTTTGGGACAACCATGACCTGGATGATGGAGAATCTCCATAGATAAAATTGTTTGGCAATTTTTCCCCCATATTATGACTTTTCTTGCCATGGTTGTTAAGTGAATCACTGCAGTTAAGTTAGTAACCCAGTTGTTGAGAGAATCTGGGTTCCCCATTGACTGCCAGGAACTCACAAAAGGTAATCGCATCACCCTGGGACAATGGCACCATCATAAATATGACCCAGTTGCCCAACATCCAAATTTTGATCCCATGACCATGGGGATGCTACAATGATTGTAAATGTAAAAAAATGGTCTCAAGTTGCTTTTTCAGTGCTGTGGCAACTTTGGTCATTAAATGAACAGTTGTAAGTCAAGAGCTACCTATAATAAGCAAGGAAATTGCCCTTGATGAGATAATATGCAAGATAATTATCCGGGCAAAAGGTACTGGAAACGAGATAACACTTGGAAGAGACTCAATCAGATGCCTCCTTGATTCACTGGAGAAGAAGAGGAATATTAACCTATTCAAACCTGCATGATCCTGCCAATAAGGGAGAAAAAAAGACTTTTGACTTCCTGTAGAGTTGATTTCCTGGTTTGGTCTACCTAACAGGGCCAACAGAACATACTGTAACTGTCCAAAGTTCTTCCTTGCACCCTTTTTCCACCCCACCCCTGTGAGGCCATTCTGTCTGAGGTCTAAAACGAATTACTGGGCATAAAATTCAGGAGGTATGAAACCAGTTGTAGAGGAAGTGATGAATAAAATTGCATCACAAATGCCAACGCGACTTCTTACATGCACTGCAGTGCAAGGAGAAGAGGACCAAGCTTGTATTATGACATCATAAGGCCTGCCTTGATACTAGACACCTCATGGCTAGAAAGGGATGGCACAAGTAAGTAAAGAGAGAAAGAATGCTTGTATTTAACAGTAACCATAGATCCTGGTGCTGACTAGGAGAAATTTAAGAACTCAGAAATTGGGGGTGCTCCATCACTGGAGGTTTTTAAGAAGAAATTGGGGAACACTTATCTGTCTGAAATGGTATAGGGTCTCCTGCTTGAGCAGAGAGTTGGATTAGAAAACCGCCAAGGTCCCATCCAATTAATGTTTTATTATTCTGACAATGAGGAGACTGATATTGTTTTATGCCCAGTAATTCGTTTTAGACCTCAGACAGAATGGCCTCACAGGGGTGGGGTGGAAAAAGGGTGCAAGGAAGAA